GCCGTGTAAAACTGATTTGAGCAAAGAGGTACCGGACGATGAACCAACGAAGTCTGATGAACCATCATTTATGCTTACCCGGTGCTCTTTCGGTGGATCAGGTCGGGAAGGAGTTTCTGGGTTGTCTGGAGTACTCACAACAGTTGCTGTTGTGTGCGCAACGGAGGAATTGGTGATCATGGGGCTAGTTGCATTACCACCTTGCGTGGGAGGAACTTGGGTAGAATCTGTAAGTGTGCGTTCCATTATTGAGCCATTGGTAGCTGTAGTGGTGGGACACAAGGCTGTTAGTGGATCAGATGATGACAATGATTTCGCAGGTGCAGGTGTCGAACAGACAGAACCAACTGAGATTGGAGTGGTACTCAGATCCGATCCTCCCACAAACACTGGTTGACTATCTGCCATGACCGGTAGAGTAGACTCGATGGAATATAGAACGGCCGGATCAACTGGGCCTAAACTGGACAAGAAAGGTGTGGAAGTATCATCGTCAAAATCCACTTGAGGTTCAACTTCAGGGGAACAAGGAGGAGAAGGTGAGTCAATCTGATGGACAAAGAGAAAAATGAAAATGAGCAATGATGATAGNATCGGCACAGTCATACATAGTATATAGCATAACTATGAATCTGAACCTCCTTAAGCATTCCGCTCTGATATGAAATGAGAAGAATATTCACATGGCCATTAGTATTTCAAACTAACCAGTTAGACTCCCAGGTACCGCAACCTGGAAGACAGAATACTAAAACAACAGTCAATACGAACAACCATGTACTCACGGTGCTCACCGTTGACTGTACAGCTCGGGGTTTGGAGTTTCGGCTGCCAACCCACAGGTTGTTGGTAAGTTCTGATCGGGATATGAAAACATTTCTGATGCATCCCAACAAGGATGAAACACAAGTCTGTGGATCTTAGTTGATTTTCGTGCGAATTCTTTGGCAACTAGATTAGGTAAACAGTTCATCTGTTTTCATCATTCCTACTTTTTCAGATGCAAATTCCGATGAGGTGTAGGAATGCGAATTCACAAGGAATAAAAAGCTCCATTCAAAAGAATATGAATTTAAATGCAAATTGCTACATCTGTTCCATCCGATAAGCAAACAGTATCGGTAACTATGTCTACTTGCAACGAATACACCTTGTAGTCAGCAAGAACAATGGTACGCTCATATGGATCTGCTAACGCTTCATAGTAAAAAGGCATTAATTACACTCACAATAAGGAAAAACCTGAATACAGTAATCTGCACCGTTGTTTGACTTACAGATGCAATTAGTCTATCACTTGATCATATCACCATCATTGCTTGCCATCGTATAGTGCAATACTGAAGCGAACTTCACTGAGAGCTGCCAAACTCGCAGAGGATACAATTGAAAATAATTAGGGTGGGCAGGGATTGGACCGATTTTGACGGAGGAAGAACGTTTGCCTATATGGTCAACGCAGAGTGCATAACCTAACTGCACATACATACCTTTCTAAGCATTTTGGTTTGGTAAGAAATGACAAGAACGCCACTGGTATCGGTTAGTTGCTATATCGTTCAAGGTCTCCAACCAACTAATTGCAGAGTTCATTCGACCCCAACTTGGAAAACGAGCAACACCCACTCTACCTAAACCCTCTGTGCATTTCTGCATGCCTCGCCTCCACGTTATCTGTTGACCTCGACGGGGTTTCCTCAATTTCGGAGCACTTAAAGTGAATAACGTGTGGTGCAGTAGACGACAGCTGGGTATGCGCAATAAGTATCCCAATCAGCGAAACCTATAAATTTGAATTCGACGAGCTAACATAACCATCCCCGATAAACTAACAAATACACCACGGTTTACCTCATGATTACTAACCCCTTCACTCCATCCCATGAGGGCTAAACTACGTAAATAACGATCACTGAAAACTTTTAGTCGATGGATGTCTATGACACACGAAATCCAAGTCTCACAATCATAGAGTAGAACTGAACGAACGGTCGCACAATACACACGACCTTGCAAATTCAGTGAAATGTCGCATGTACGACAAAGGTGTTTCAGTCCCGTACATGCTGCTCGAGCCTTGGAAATCAGTGCGGTTACCTCCTTTGCCATTCTATCGTCACTGACCATACAACTACCTAAGTAGGAAAAGCAATCCACTATAACTAATTCCTGGTTATTTGTTCCGACCACTGCCTATTCCTTGCCAGTACGAACTTCAGGCGTTCCAACTGCCGGT